GCTCACAATATGAGTGCAATATCATTCCTGCTTGTGTTTCCCAGCAACTAGTATCTAGAGCATGGGTAGGCAAACTAAGGCCCGGGGGCCAGATCCAGCCCAATCACCTTCTAAATCCGGCCCACGGACAGTCCGGGAATCAGTGTGTTTTTACATGAGTAGAATGTGTGCTTTTATTTAAAATGCATCTCTGGTTTATTTGTGGGGCATAGGAATTCGTTCATCCCCCCCAAAAAAATATAGTGCGCCTCCCCAGGTTTGAGGGACCCTCTGCTAAAAAAGTTTGCTGACCCCTGATCTAAAGGCATATTGCCTTAGATTCTGGAGGAAACACATAACCCTCATGACTAATAGACTTTCACAGCCTTATCCATAATCCTTCAATATTTTATGAATCTCAGGGTTTTATATGCATCAAACACCAAATCATAGGTTCTACTTCTTCTTCTTCTTTCATACATTTCCCCCTGTACACCATACCATTTAAAGTTTCCATGCAGCTATACCAAGTATTGCATCCTTGGGTTATAATGGCGAGATGCACTAAGAGATCATTTATTTGGTGATTATCCTGATAAAATAGACCACCTAAGATTGATGCCAGTCCAACCTTGCTATGGAATGGTGCCCTACACCAATTGTTGCCTACTTTCTTCATTTTTGTCATTTCTCTTTTAAAAACTGCTAAGATCTTGGTTTATTTTTTCTCAGTGATGTGGCTTATTTTAAAGGGATACAGTTTCCATTTCAGAAAGAAGTAATCCAGCAATTGATACTGAGCACATCTGGACCTTTTCTGTTTAATCTTTTGTTTACACTCAGTAAGGGTTTGGTTGGAAAGAGTGTGCTTTAAATTGCTCCTGCTTTATTGAAGCCTACACATGTGTGCGAGAGAAGAGGAAGTACGAGAACAGTTTCAGGACTATTTGGCAAGGATCACATTTCACACTCTCATTTGTGCTAAAGCTTCGACAAGTACAATCCTCTCACACTCGCCTTTTCAGTTAATTTAGCATTCTTTTAAAAATAGACGCTGCTCTTCCATTGTACTTAAAAGGCAAAGTGTAATTATTTCTGGTAAATCTACATGCCAGTCATTAAAAAGCAAACACTGGAGATGCATGGAAGTGTTCTCAGGCTTACACTTTTCTGGCTAGCAGCTTGGCCGCTAACAGTGAACACTGACTAATGAGAAATCAAGGTCAGCTGAAAATACAAGTCTTACCTACCTGAACCCAGTGTTTTCTGCCTTGTGACAGGAGAAGGAAACAGAAGCTGCTTTTGAATGATGTAGCCGATGAATGAGAAAGAAGTCAGAGGATGAAAACAGACATAACATTATAAGAAAAGTGTGAGCAGTTTGAAAGCACCCTCACTGTGTTCAGGACAAAGAGGTCATTTCTCTCTTGCAGGATGAACTCTGAAAAATTGGTTCTGTAGCATGGTTCAGTTTCAATTAAGAGAAAAACTGGCTTTGTAGGGCACCAGTTGGCTAGTGCCTATGCCATCACACACACACATCCAAAGGAATTTTGCAACTGTTTTTAAAATGTTTGCAAAAAAAAAAAAAAGTCTGATATGATGAAGCAAGGACATTAAGAAAATCTACATGTGAGATTCTAAAATATATTTATTTTTCTTTTTATAAAAAGGGCAGTTAGCCCATATGGGACATAAACAGAGGATGACCGAATTAGCATTTGGCTTGTAGGTGTGCATGTAGGCAAACTGCATAGCTGGGATCACACAAAGGATAAAACACCCACGGCAAATACGGTTGTATTCACCACTTGGAGGACTTAAAAAAAGAGCTGACATCGCATTTGTCTTCAGGCTGGGGAGTTGGATATTTAAGACATACGGGGTTCAGGACAAGTGGGCAGCGCTTGGGAAAGCTGGACTAAAGGAAAATGCTCACAAGGCCTCAGTTTACCTCCAGGCTTTGTTGGAGCAAGTTGCTCCCGTGGAGCTATCCGTGGTGCTGCTTTGCTTCCATAGGGACCTGGCAAGGAAGGGTCCGAATAGACTGCACTGCCACTATGTGATCCCTCTTACCACCTTCCATCCATTTCACCAGCTGCCACTAAGGGCTCATTCAGACTTCCTTTTGTGCTATGCTTCTAAGCACAGACTAAACCTCTTGGGGGGGGGTTGTCTGGTCCTTTCCCCATGGAAACCTGTTCTTTACCACAGAAAACAATTCCACCCAAATTGCTGCTTGTTCCAAGTAAGGGTGGGTTTTCCTAGGGACAATGCCACTGGGGGTGGGGGGAGCACTCAGACATGGACCAGGAAAGTGCCTGGAAAGCCTGGGGCAAAAGGTAAAGGTGGATATGCCCTGACTGTGCCACCTGATCTTAAATCAATACAGTGGTACCTCGGGTTACATATGCTTCAGGTTACAGATGCTTCAGGTTACAGACTCTGCTAACCCAGAAATAGTACCTCGGGTTAAGAACTTTGCTTCAGGATGAGAACAGAAATCGTGCGGCGGTGGCGCAGCGGCAGAAGGAGGCCCCATTAGCTAAAGTGGTGCTTCAGGTTAAGAACAGTTTCAGGTTAAGAACGGACCTCCGGAACAAATTAAGTTCTTAACCCAAGGTACCACTGTATTATAGCTTTCAGACTACCATTTATGGACTGGAAAAATGCATATTCTAGGGAGATATATGATTATGCTGTGAATCACCCCGAGATCTTCAGATGAAAGCTGCTATACAAATTTAATAAATAAAATAATAAATAAATAAATAAATATTTCTAGGCTTGATATCTTCAGTGTCCTGAACTGCACTGCTGTTTGCTGCAGATGAGCAACAGTCTTGTCCTAGCAGTGGGATTCTCATGTTAGGATGCTGCAGTAAGGCAGTTTTTCAGCCCAAACAATACTGTGTTTTTGCAATAGGACATTTCTATTCTTGCCATAGTTTCTCCAGCGCTAGCTGGTACCACAAGTACCATGGCAAAGTGAATCCCAACTTAAATGTGCCATCATACTCAGAGAAGGAGGGCTGTGAATTTGTTAAAGGGGGTGTGATTGTAATGTAATGCAAAATCCAAGGTTTATGACTGTTATTTTTGCGTCATTAATTTCAAAACTGCTTTTAAAACGTCTCTCAATACCTTTAATTTGCACCGAGTGCTAAATGCATCACAAATGAAGCATTGCAAATGTTAGTCTGCCACATTATCTTGCATCCTTTTGAAGTGGGGCACCATAGAACGAATATGAGTGACACTACCATCATTTATGTGCAGTGTTTTGTGCAAGCTCATGAAGGCCTATTCAAAGCGATACAGCTTTGCATCACAAAGGGAGGGAGGAAAGGCCGTTTGCCTTTCTTTGTACTTAGGCCGAAACATAATTATGCCTCTCTTTCATAATGAGGGTGAACACACTGGGAAAGTCTTATGGAGACAGATATGAGCAGGCAAGCGGGGGGGCTTGCAGGGAGAAAAAAAGCTTGTTGATTTGTATAAGCAGGAAAATGGCTGGCAAAATCAAACCCACCGGGCTGGGGAAACAATCACAGAACCTAACCAAGGTGTAACGCTTCACTGTAATGATGCCCTCGTTGCTAAAACGATAGTAAAGTTCTCACAGCTGAAATTAATCCATGTTCATCCAGCAGACCACACCTGTTCCTTTTACTTAAGACCTGCTCCCTGCTTCCTGAATGTTCTGGATTCACATTTCACCTTCTGTCCACTGTCCTGTAACAGGGAATCTGAACAAATTATGTAAGGAAAATGAAAGGCAGTTAGACATAAATAGTGCCAATTGCATTGCTCCGTTGTAGGCCTTTTTTGGCTGGTGTTTCCACTATCTGTCAGAACTGCTCTGCAAACTGCTACTGGATCCAACACACCTTTGTTTCCTGTGGTACCTGAGGCATACCTGGCAGCACAGTGACCCTGCCAGGGAAAGTTATAGTCATTGGTTTTGTCTCATCCAACTAACCAAGCACACCTATTGTTCAAATTCGCATGGTGTTTACAAAAGCTAATTTCTTCTTCATATGCTTCCCATCCCCATTAGTGTATTTAGCAGCATCAGCCTGATAATTGCATAACCACCCAATGCTGACTTTGGACTTTGTCCACATTTCACAGTTTTGGAACAGAAAACGGCTTCAGCTTGGCATTGACTTACCTTGTGCCAGTGTTGAGATGTGCATTGCTGGTTGCTCCAAGTTTGCTCATCTGTGACTCGTTCACATTTTAGCACATCACACAGGCAAGTGTTGAATGGAAAAGCAGGCAGGATTTCAGGGGATCTGTAAGCTGTTTTAGATATTTATTTAGCGCTTTCCCCTGAGTGCTCAAAGTGCTTCACACACATCCCCTCAGTCAGCTTTGTAACAGATTGACCAGCATTATTATCTCAGTGTTGTTGTTGTTGTTGTTGTTTTGGGGAGGTGTGTGAAAGAACTGTCTGTGGCTGAAAAGGAGGGGCCTATCTAACAAGTGTAGGACGAAGCTGAGAATTGAAAATTTAGGACTAAGAGCTTATGCTCTTAACCACATTGCTACCACACAACTCCATAGTTTAGTGGAGGAGCCATAGATGGTAGAGTGCATGCTTACAGACTCCGGCTACAATGCCAGGAAAGACCCCATATTGGGGAGGGACGGAAAAAGAGGTTGCACACATACCATATATATAAAGCATCCACCCAAAGAATCATGGGAACAGTAGCTTCCCCTCACAGAGCTACAGCTCCCAGTACCCTTAAACTATAGTTCCCAGGTTTTCTTTGAGTGGGGGGCAATGTGTTTGAAATGTATTTTAAATGTATGGTGTTTACAGAGTCAGAAAGACAGAGAGAGACACAGAGACAGAGATGCTGTCAATCAAAGGCTGTGTACACACCATACATTTAAAGCACATCCGGGAACATAGGAAGCCTTATAACAAATCAGATCATTGGTCCATCTTGCTCAGGGAGACTGGCAGAAGCTCACTGGGCTTTTAGACAGGGGGCACTTTCAGCCCTACATGGAGATGCCAGGAGTTAAACCTGTGACCGTCTGCATCCAGGGCAGATGTTCTAGCACTGAGCTACAGCCCCAAAGAATCCTGGGAACTGTAGTTTGTTAAGGGTACAGGGAAATGCAGCTCTGTGAGGGGTAAACTTCCCAGGATCCTTTGAGTGTGTGTGCTTTAAATGTATGGTGTGTACACAGAGTTTAGAGCCCTGGGCCAGGTAGGCCAGTGATCTACTTGTGCAGAAGGCAGCAGCATATGCTCAATGCTGTCACATTATGGGACAGGAGGGAGAGCTGCCCCATTCATTTTACAGAGCCCGGATTCACTCCTGAGCATTTTGGCCTCCAGGCTAATCTGCATTTACACCCACCCACACCCACACCTCTCAATTGGCTTCCTTATTAAGCATTCTCTCTCTCTTTTTCCTCCCTCCTCTTATTATGAACAGAATGGGTGGGGGGGGTCCTTCTTAAAGGAGGAGCACAAAAGAAACGGCCATTTGCATTGAAGCCACCAACTGAGCTAGCAATTAAAGCACTGCTATCTACAAATGTGCCTCGTTGGGCTATTACTGATTGTAGACTTGGTTTATGGCGGCAGCAGCTGACACACAATGCTCCTATTCATTTTCTGGCAGGTCTTTGATAATCACAGCCATGCTCTGCATTTACCTTCAGCAGTGCCCAGGGTTTTACCACCACCTTAGTGCCCCATTTGCAGTCATATAAAGATGGGCAAGCCAGAGATGTTTAAGGTGGCTTATTTTGCCATGACTGTGAGACTCGGAGCAGTTCATTGCAGATTTAACATGGGTACTGCAGCAACTAAAGTCCTCCACTGGGCCAAATGATGTGTTTTGATAATGCAGGAAGATAGCCATCACACAGGGAAAGAAGTCTAGTTGGTTTGGCGACTACCTGCTCTGCCACCATAAGTGGGGGTTGCAATTGACTTTATGTTGTTTGTTTGTTTGTTTGTTGTTTGTTGTTGTTATATATTTATTCATATCTTGCCTCTTTCCCTGACAGAGACTCAAAGCAGCTTACGGATTAAAATGGTGGTGGCTAATTGTGTGAGCTGTGAAATCCTTGCTTTGTATTTTACAAACTCACTAGATTAGCATCTTAAGGCAAGCTAATGTTTTGTTAGCCTTAGCATCCTAGCTGCAATAAGGGGAAAACAAATCCTTACAAGGTAGCTAAGATAATGTATTTTTATAGGATTGTGGGATTGATTTAGATGATGCCTGTAGATCCCAACCAAACCTGTGATTCTGTATCTGTGCAGTTGTGGTAGAAGGGATCCGCTGAATTAGTCAAACCAGTCCCTTTGTTAAGATAACAGACCTTCCAAGTGTCCCTATTTTCCAGGGACAGTTCCAGATTTTCATACGCCTGGTTTCTTTTTTGATCCTGGAAGGTCATGATCCTTAGGACATTCCTGTTTCCATGGGAGAAATGTTGGAAGGTCTAGAGTTGTACAACCCCTGAGCCAAGGAGATAAGCAACTATACAACCTTTAGAAGACATCTGAAGGCAGCCCTGTATAGTGAAGTTTTTTAATGTTTAATGTTTTATTATGTTTTTATATTTGTTGGGGCAACCCAGTCCGATGGGTGGGGTATAACAATAACAACAAGAACAACAGCAGCAGCAGCAACAACTACTATTATTATTGAATAAAGGTAAAGGGACCCCTGACCATTAGGTCCAGTCGTGGCCGACTCTGGGGTTGCGGCGCTCATCTCACTTTATTGGCTGAGGGAGCCGGCGTACAGCTTCTGGGTCATGTGGCCAGCATGACTAAGCCACTTCTGGCGAACCAGAGCAGCGCACGGAAATGCTGTTTACCTTCCCGCCGGAGCGGTACCTATTTATCTACTCGCACTTTGACGTGCTTTCGAACTGCTAAGTTGGCAGGAGCTGGGACCGAGCAATGGGAGCTCACCCCGTCGCGGGGATTCAAACCGCCGACCTTCTGATCAGCAAGTCCTAGGCTCTGTGGTTTAACCCACAGCGCCACCCGCATCCCTATTATTCTTGAATAGACCACCCCTATTTTCATTAGACAAATGTTGGAGGGTATGAGTTAAACATTTTATCTATCTTCTGCCCACCAGGGTATAGAAGATAACAGCAGAAGCTGTTTTATAGCAGGTCAGGCTATTTACTCATCCAGCTGAGTATTGCCTACTCTGACTGGTTGTGGTTTCCCCTGCCTCAAAGGCAGCCACTACCTGATCTTCTTCTTCCTCTTTTTAACTGGAGTTGCCAGGGATTGGACCTGGTGGGGGGGTCCTTCTGCATGCCAAGCAGCTGCTCTGCCCCTGAGCTCTGATCCCTCCACCAAATCCTCAGTTATCATTGGGCAAATCAAAGCCAACCTTTTAGGAGTTAAGTCAGCTCTCTCCCACCGGCTGGGGCTTAATATTTGTTGTAATAAATAGACTCCCATTATCACTCCAGCACCGCTCAAGCTAATAATCAGAGTCGGTTTTATTTATGGCTAGCTGAAACACACGCGCACACAATTTAGCACCCCCAGTCACATAGGCACCACTTTGCACAATTCAGGTGTAAATGCCAGATTTTAGACAATCATCATCTCAGAAATTGCGCAGAGGAAGAAAGAAGAAATAGCCGGCAAGCAGCCAGCCGGTTAAAATATAGTGGAGCTGAACAATAGCAGCCACATATGGAATAGGTCAATAGCCCAGCATATGCCTGCCCTGCTCAGCTCCATGTTTCTTAATCCCTGTTTTCAATATTATAATTAATGCCATTTGGTAGCCTGCTTCAAACACTGCTGGTTTGTATTTGGCTCTTTAGTGCATTTATTGATTTTTATTATTATTTTTAGGTTTCTGAAATTTTATGTTAAATAAAGATCAGGACTGAACTTGCTGGGAATGCTTATCTTCCTGACAGCTCTGAAAGCAAATCATAGGCGGTCGAGGGAAGGCATGAAATTAATCTTCTCTCTATGAAATGCTTCGCCCATGAAGTTTGTTTTACAACATTCATTCAGCAAACCAACAGGGACTCTGGGAAGAAGTACACAAAGAGGCCTGCTTTGGCTTTTGTTGTCGGATTTCAATGATGAAGGGCCCTTGATTTATTTCATATTTCTTCTTTCCACAAAGTTGACAATACTGATGCTGCATGACGTCTTCCAGTGGCCAGAACGATGGATATCATCTAAACAACTTTATGTTCATTGCTCAAAATAAGAGACCTCAATTTGTCACTAGAGTGTTTCTTTAAAACAACAACAACAACAACAACAACAACACCATGGGGGATTGTATTAATTTATTTTCCTATTCTTTACACCTCTATGTAGCACAAACTTTTTCATAATGGAAGTGCTGATATTGTGAATATGCATGTGCATGTTTAAACAGAGCTTTGTTTTTGGCTTGCAATGGCTGTGCAAAAGAGCATAAAAGTCTTCTGGAATATATCTACATACATGCCTTACAGGCCTTCAAAGTTGGCCCCCACTGATACAATGCACCGTTAACAACATTCGTAGAACGGTTGGAAATTTCTGGAGAAGTCCTCTTTTCGTACTGCTTTCAGTTCCCTCGTCACAGCAACTTAGACGTGTGAAATGTTGGGAAATCTGTGCTTTTTCAGTGCAGATTTTGTTTTGGAAAAAGGAAGAAATCCAGTGGGGCCAGATCAGGAGAATATGGAGGGTGGGACAACTCACTAACCTCAGTAATGATTTCACGTGGAATATGCAATTCTTCTGCCATCATTCGGACAGACAAGTGCTGATCCCTCATCAATAACTCACGAACTCTGTTGACATTTGCCGCCTTTCTGCTCGTCGACGGTCTGCCGGATTGAGGGTCATCTTCGATGGTTTGCCACCCTTCGCGGAAATGCTTAAACCACTCATACACGGTTTTTTGAGTTACAGCTTCATCTCCGTGCACAATTGTGAGCATTTTGTAGGTTCCCGATGCCGATTGTATGTTTGAATATTTCTCACTGTCCGATTTCTGTGACCATTCACTGAAATTTCCGGTCACACCTTGTATATGGCATTGCCATGATCCCACTCCTCATATTTATTGTGTATAGAGCAACTCTGCATCTTCACTCACATCAACAGATGGGTACGTCTTTCGGCCTGTGCAGAGGTGCCTTCTCCCCGTAGAGTCACCCATCTGTCCAGCTTGTTCCTCACCACAGAGACTAACTGGTTCCTCCTCAGCACAAGGCTCGCATGGGTGGAAACACTCAGGGAGGCACTGAAGTTGGAGGAAAGACTGAATCAGGTGAAGGAGGTTTGCTTGGGGAATTTGATTTCTGTGAATTCCAGTGTGTGCTGACCTGGGCGACATTCACGCCATACATTTAAAGCTCTAAGCAGTCATGGCTTCCCCCCCTCAAAGAATTCTGGGAGCTGCAATTTGTTAAGGGCGCAGAGAGTTGTTAGGAGACCTCCTCTTCCTCTCCCTGATGTTGTCTGTGAAGAGGAATTGATAATCTTGTATGTAGTTGCAGAACGTGGCAGAAGGGTCACAGGCAAAGTGCCAACACATTCAGGTATTCCAAGGGCTACCATGAGTCCAAAGGTGCCCATGCATTGCCATGATACAACTTCCATCAGCTCTTGACTGTTGGCCATGGTGATGGGGCTCATGTTGACAACATCTGGAGTGCCACAGGTTTCCTATCTTGTCCATTGGAACACCATCCCTGCTGACAAATCTCTTCATTTCCTCTTTCAAATTAGCAACTTTATAGCTTTGTGTCTACATATCTGGGAATGCAAGAGTTCTTGTTGATCTTTAATATGTGTAAAATACATCTTCAGAGCCTTCTTTTCATAAGCATTCTCCCATTTAAAGCACAAAATAGCCGTAATTTCTCTGACCCACTATTCTGCTTGCTTTCACTCCTCCACCTTTGTTCCCTTTCTTCTATTTTGCTGACTTTGAATTTTCTTCAGGGATTCCCTGCCTAATTATTATGTAATGTTTCTGAAACTCCAAATGAATGATGCAGGACTTTCTCTGAAAAATCCCAGTTGTTTAAACTGTGAGGTTTATATTGAATAGGTTTTCACATTTTGTGTGTGTGTGTGTGTTTAAGAGAGAATGTTAATCTAATGAAATGGTTCAAAATCTTTTTAGTGTAAAGTGAATAGGTTTATGAATCCCAGAGGAGAATATTTCTGCCGGAAGGCCTACCCCACCATTTTCCTTGGGAAAATATCATAAAAAGTGGGGAGGGGAAGTTGGCACCTTTTTACGCAAGTGAAAGTCTGAGTTCCACCAGTGGGTTAATTAGTAAATAATGACATTGGATTTGATGAGGTGCCATTTAACAACACAGTTTATTTGCTTTCTTGGGCACAACTGTGAAATGAATTTTCAGGCTCATAAGTACATTGGAGTGATTTTAATGATAGAATTACAATGTTATTTCAAGAAATGCATTCTGATACAAAGCAGTGCACTTAGGGCACATCGATATGGGGCTATTAGCTCACTCAGAATCCAATTTTTCAGTTTGCAGATTTGAATGAGAATGTCTACACCTGTGAATTTTAAATTTTCTGTCCAAATTAATGAACCAGTTTTTCTGCAGCAATTCCCTGTTTGTGGAATGCCCTCCCCAGGGAGGTTTGTCTGGCACCTTCATTATATATTTTTGGGCACCTGGTGAAAAAACATTCCTCTTCAACCAGGCCTTTGGCTGATTAATATTCTACAGTCTTTTAAATGTGTCTGTAGGAAGAGGGGGAGTATTGTTTTGTTGTTTTGGTTTTAATTATTTACTTGTGCTTTTATATTGTATTTTAATCTGTGAACCACCCTAAGATCTTGCGATGAAGAGCAGTATATACATTTTATGAATAATAATAATAAAATTGAGGCAATACATGAAGGGCATAGAATCATAGAATTGTAGAGTTGGAAGGGACCCTGAGGGTCATTTAGTCCAACCCCTCTTCGGTTAACCCTAAGAACTGCAGGGGTATGTATATGCTGAGGGGGAGGTGGACTGGCAATGAAACTTTAGTTCCCAGTATGTTCCGTGAATTAAGATCCAAGGCAAGCAAATGTAAAGTCATGCACACATTGGAGCAAAACTTCCAAAACTGACATGCACAATAATGGGATCTGCCGATGACTAAACAGTCTTGGGGCCATGGCGGAAAGAACAATGAATGTGTCCGTTCATTCATTGCAACAGCAATGAAAATTCCATGCTAGAGATTACTAGGAAAGGGACTGGAAACAAGATCCATTATCTCCAAGTCAAAAGCACATGGAAACCACGGCTCTTTTAAAAGATGGAAAAGTAGAACTAGGAACTCTCCACACCCAAGGGAGATTACATTACTGTTCCATTCTTCTTCTTTTTTTAAAAAAGTTGTGTTTCCTGCAGATTGAAAAAAAGATGGAAGGAGAAGAGAGAGAAAAAACACAGGACAACGGTATAATGAGTTCATGTAAATGGCTCACAGAAATAAATCAATTTCACCCTAAATAAATGAATTCCACCCTACGGTTCTACTGTAGAAGCTCTTTCAGTGTATCTGTGGTCAGCTCTTCCAGTCTAAGCCCAACACCCTTTCAGTCTAAACTCTCACACACATTACAGTCGGCCACAGAGAGAAAGATGGCTGGTAGCAATTTTGTTCATGTGCTTGCATTGTTTTGGGGACAGTGGAAATTATAATCACTCAGACAAGATGTGTAAGCTGTTAATGAAGTATTCAGACTCCAGCACAGACTTGGTCATTATCCTACCATTTGTGGTTAGTATGCTATGTTCTAAATGTCGTTATAGCACTCAGCATGTGCATGCTTTTATTTATTAATATAGTAAGTGGGATCTATATCAAAGTGTTGCAAGCAGTGTGGAGTTCTCTTCCACTCCATTCTTCTTGCCCTCCCCCTGGTTATCCATCATTCCTCTCCCCCCACCCCAAGTCAGTCAGCATTCTGTATTGAAAATGCTCAGTTTTCACTGGGCTATGTTAGAACTGTTTGCCAGTCCAGAGAAATTTCCCTCTTAAAAAAAAAACTTTTTGGAGCCTTTTCACTGGCTCATAGATGGTGCTGTTTTGACTATACAGTGGTACCTCAGGTTAAGAACTTAATTCGTTCCGGAGGTCCGTTCTTAACCTGAAACTGTTCTTAACGTGAAGCACCACTTTAGCTAATGGGGCCTCCCGCTGCCGCCGTGCTGCCGGAACACGATTTCTGTTCTCATCCTGAAGCAAAGTTCTTAACCCGAGGTTCTATTTCTGGGTTAGCAGAGTCTGTAACCTGAAGCGTATGTAACCTGAGGTACCACTGTATAACCATTGGCATCCAGGGAATGGGAACAATAGCATTTTTTGATGGTGACGATTAGTATTTTTAGTCACTTGTCTCCATGCCCAACAAACATGTTTTAAATTGAAATGGTATAATTGCTCTCATGAATATATGAAGTTCACAGTTCCTGGAGCTGAAATATGCAAATGATTGTTTAAAATGTGATGCACACATACAACCATTACATCTCTAAGTCTGTTTGTGGTGGAGGAACGAGAGGAATAGCATCTCTGGGATTAAAAAATATATATCCAATTGAGGATTCAGCCCCCAAGCAAACATTGATAAACTCTCCTTGGCCTGTCCCCTCCCTACTTGGCTACCAAACACACACTTTTCTTCAAATTATCCAAGCATATAAACCCTGATGCCTATAGGGTATAATGATGGGAACAGTGCAAAACCCATAAATTGAGACAGTGAGATTATCACTTGCAATGAAAAAGGCATATTACAAATTTATGAGCAGGTTAATAAGTGTCACTACGAGAGCCTAGCTTTCATTTCATACACTTGTGTGATTAAAATCACACTCTTTATTCATTTCCAGAGGGGAAGCCATCTCAGTCTGTTGCACAAAATACAACAAAGATTCCTGTGACACCTTAAAGATTAAGAACGTTATTATTACAACACAAGCTTTTGTGGACTAGAATTCACTTCATCAGAAGCATCTGATAAAACAGACAGTAGTCCACAAAAGCTTATGCTGTAATAAATGAGTTTTTACTTTTTACCGATTTCTTAAACACTTTATTTAGGCATTTTAAGACTACATGCTTCTGTTTGTATCATGGATGGAGAACCTTTGGCCTTCCAGATGTTGTTAGACTACAACTCCCATCATCCTTTGAGACCCTTGGTTATGCTGGCTGAAGCCAATGTGTGTTGAAGTCATGCCACATCTGGAGTGCCAAATGCTCCGCACCCCAGTTTTACATAGCCAATACCATATCATGTTGTTTATGTTCTCTATATGAAAACTGTGCACTAAATCTTCAGTCCTAAAGTGGGGGTGCAGGAGGCAAAATCTGAAAGTGGTTCAGCCACTTTGTACACCCTGCTGGTCTCAAGCTGGCAAGGTCAGCCGAAGGAACGTACATTGTTCCTCTGTCCAGTTTGCCCATCATGGGAATCAAACCCATGACCCTGAAATGAATCCATGAGCATGGTAGTCTCATGCTCTACCAGCTGAGCTATCCCAGGCTGGCATTTTCATGGAGCTTGTGCATGTATACATGAATGCACCTATATGTGCACCTATAGGCTCCTGTATGTGAGACCCAGCAGCTTCTATTTTCCAGGCCAAGAGTGCAGGAACTAAAACATGTTCAGATGTTTTACGTAAAAATAAACGATGAAAGTGCAGTACCACCTTGATGTCAACCAGCTCTTCCAGGCATACATTTGTAGGCAGGTAGCCATGTGTAAAGTGCTGTACCTTAAAACAATTGGAAGATGATTCTAATAGCAGCTGATGGGCCATCTGGCTCCCACACCTCAGTAACTCAGTGCGGTGCCTCTGTTTCTGAGCAAAATGAAATACAGTTTTCAGCACCCTACTGGAGTTAACAGGAAGATTTCAACTGTATATCATTGCCCCTTAAACTGACAGGTGTTTCTGAGATGCAAGTTAGGGAGCGAGGGGACAGTGAGAGCAAAAAAACACCCACAGCCTCCAAAACAAAATCCCATCAAAATAAAAAAAAATGGACAACCCTCTTCAGCTCAGAGCAGCATAAAGAATGACGTAACACTGGGCAGCTGGCAGCCACAAAGGGAGGGAGGCAACTGCCTTCGCTGTGAGAACAGGGCCCTTGTGTTACAAGAAGCTCAGAACTCTCCCTAATCCCACTTGCGCCTTTCACATCATGAAACCGTACATGATTTCAGGACAATTTGCCACAGTTGGAATCATGGTGAGGAAGGTTATCCTGCAGCTGGCAACTCTGAGGAGACTGAAAGAAGGAGAAGGGAAGGGAGAAGCCATGGTGGCAGGGAGGGAATGGGAAGGCGGTCAGTTCACCAGTTTTGTTTCCTTAAAGCTACTTGAACTTTAAAAACAGCAGCAACCCCTCACTCTGTTTGATTAAGAAAACAGAGACACTCAACACACTTGCTTTTCCGCCCTTGGTGAATGGGAAGGGAGCAATCCTTTGACTGACAAAGAACAAATGGGCTGAAGCTAGCCACAAGGTTGATAGCTGCACTGAAGAATAAAATTCTGCCACAAAAATCCTTGTGAAGGATAAAAAAGAGAGGCCATTATTGTGTATGGGGAAACAGCAGTACACACCAGACTTCTTCCACAAACTCAACTCTTTATTATTGCAGCTTTCAGGGAAAACCTATAGCAGAGCAACTGGTTTGTAGTGAGGAGGGATAAGAGGATCTTAACTGAGAATTGTCCCTGGTTACTAGTACATCATGGGCCAGGATTGTTCTGGCCCCTGAGGAGATTACGCAAGGCCAGCAACTCAAGGAAGAACCTGCTGAAAAAGTACATATGCAGAATAAGCATTTCCAATGCAGAAGTATTTGTTCAGTGCCTGACAATGGCCTCCAAACATCTACCTTCCAGGAATATGCAGGATCCATCAAATCCTGAGATGTAATGCAGCTGGTTGTGTGTGGCGTTACTATATATTTAGATTTTCAGAGTTTATTGATATTGTGCTTTGTTGAAGCATGCCAAATCACTAAGGTCATCCTTTGTTTTAAGGAAAAATCTCGGATTTCAAACAACACCACTCTTTAATGGCCTTGCTTTTTAATATTTTATGCAGCTTGCTGCTTCTCGCTGTGAATGAAAAGGGGAGCTAGACAGAGATGCAGATAAGCTGTTTATTTATCCTATGTATACACATTGGTATTATGCCATTGTGAGATTTCAACCAAACCACGTAAGCAGCAAAACATGCAGCTTACATAACGAGCCCAATTGGAGCCACCACTGCATTGTTCCTCTCGGCTGTTGTCTTCCAGAGACTGTTCCCAGCTATTGTGTCACCCTGTCTTAACATCACCCTTCAGATGCCTCAAAGAGCGCTTTGTGCTGGGTCAGACTCTTTCCAACCAGGTGGTCAGCACAAATCAGCCAGCTAAAATGGTCTCATCTGCACCATGCATGACAGAGTCCAGAGCCAGCCCAAGACATTTTGCTGTCTGAGTCAGAACACCAAATTGCACCTCCTCACAAGTCACGGGGCTTAGCACCCACGGCTGCTCAAGTTATTTCGGCATGTGAAGCAACAAAACAAAACCACAACTCACAAGCATCTTTCCCTTGCAGTAAAAATTCAGTAAATTAAATAACTATTTTCTGTACTTGCATGCTATCCAAAATCAGCTGCCTGAATGTGCCTAACAGTAGGGTTACCCCTAACAGAGTCCATCTATCATCTTAGATCTGATATATAAGATGAAGTGGATGGTAATCTGCAAAAGCTTATTTCTTAGTTTTTAGGGTGTTATACTACTCTTCTTTGTTTTGTGGCAACAGACTAACATGACTACTTCACTCTGGAAATGAACAACTCTTGGAAAACTGCCACAAACAAAATGGTGGCCAAAACTCAGATGTTGACTCCTCTTTAAGTTTCTATTTCCCCCCAATTGCCAGATTCTTAGGATGACACTTTGACTGTCCTGTGTACAACACTTTCTTGTACAAAACATCTCCAGAAAGACACCCACTTCTCCTTTTAACCCTCCTGTGAACTTTTGACCCTCATCTGCAGGAGAGCCTCTAAAAGAAAAGCAAACACATTGCCCAAATTTTACAACCAACAACAAAAACACAAAATGATTGAAAGTCCAATTCCTTCAGATTGTCTTTTGCATCTGGTCAGGTGTGTTGCTAGGTGGTGGACCAAGGGGCCCCACGCTCTGGGTCTTCTGCAGTGAGCTCTAGATCTCCTGACCTGCCTTCCTTTATGAACAACACGTTTGCTTTAGCTCTGCTCATAGGGCAGCTGGGTGAACTGCAGAAGCTGGGGAGATCCCAGCCACTTGCAACCTTAACTCCCCAGATACCTCTCTATGCATTAAATTAGCACATGCAGATATTATGCAGATTCATGTCATGGGCCTGTGGCCCAAGTCCTTTAGGGACCAAGCAACAGCCTTCATCTGGTCATCATAGAATGGACATGATCCAGCCAAGACCTTCCAAGCTCTCTTGATTTCAACGGGAAAGTGAAGCAATGCTTGCCCTAAAAACAGATCACCCTGTAAAAATCAGGAGCATGTGATGGACCCCTGAGGATTCAGAGCTAAGCAATAGAGATGATCAGACATGATAGTTGAGCAGAACTAACTGTAGCCAGCGCTGAAGCTGTAATGGCAACTAAGGAAGCTCTCCTCTTCTTGAAAGCAAATACCTAACATCTAAATTGGTATGGGAAGTCCTCCTTTTGCTGCAATATGAATGAAGAAATGTTTTATTCATAAACAAAGATTTGATTGCCCTCTTCCCTTTCGTCTCTTTCCCTGCACAAGCCTCTTCCCTTTAACGGCAACAATTATGATGATCTGGCACCACAATTTAGTTTGCCCGTCCCTCCCGAGGCTTTCCTGCTTTCCCGCTGTATTTTTATTTTCTCAGCCAGCTGCTTTGCTTGATTATGTCCTTGAGAGCCAATGTGCTAGACAGGTGACAGAGTCTGCCAAAGACTGGTGACTATTGCAGTGTTCACACTCCCATTTACTTCTTCATCCAGTGTACTCCCTACCACTGCTGGTTTGGGAAGCATTGTACCCACAATTTTCACCACAATCCATATCTATCCTGTTACTGTCGTTCCTTACGAAATACTGTGTTTGTTTGTTTTTGAATAACTTTTTACTGGGTTTTATAAACGAGGGTCATAGGAATAACACATAATACAAATAAAAAGGCCACGTCTTCATGTCTTTGTCTCCCACAAAAATAAAATTGCAGTAATGTCTACAACATACAGTTCATTATCAGTGGTGGGCACCTGGGCAACCCATCCTTTAAGAGGCTATTGTAGGGATACAAGCTATAAGTGCTTTAACTGGCAGATAAATCCACTGAAATGGACAAATGTGGTAATGTGGGACTCATACTTAAGGACATTCCTGTTTATTTTTGAAGTTGACATGGTTCCAGTGTGTCATTATAATGCAGAATACAAGTATTTATTTCCTCCCCCCTTTTGCAGGGACTACTAGAGTGTTCCTTAAGATCATTGACCTTTCCTTCAGTCTCTCAAAATGGTATCTAAACAGAGTCTTGGCACTATGCATATTTGTTTATACCTAGCCCATTAACCACTTAAATGGCAGCCGATCAATCAATTATTACTTTTGCAGCAGGATGCAGCAATTTGGAAGGCAGGCAGAATGTGAGTCTACAGGTTGCTTTGATTCAGACATGGTGCTGGGGGGGGGGGATATGTTTTAATTGGCTCAGGTGGTAATTTATTTGCAATTAGAATTGTGTGAGGGAGGGAGGGCTCATTGCTCCCCCTCCCATCGTGTTGCTAGCATTTGACTCTGGCATCCTCCACGTTTTTATGAACATAGGCTCTCTACATGACCCTGATTGCACAGGATTATAAATTGTACAGGGAACTTTCTTAACCAGAGCAGATTCCCAGATGTGTAAATTGTTTAGAGGGTGTTATGTACTGAGTTGAATAGGATCCAAAGGCAGCAGTCTGATTGATCCTAGAACAATAGGGTCCAGAATGCAGCAGTCTGATTGGTCCACAGGAGCCACCCAATCCAGCTCCAGGTGGAAGTGAATCCGCAACCTTATTGGCCTACAGGTGAATCCCGGAATTAGCCAATCATGTGGGGCCCATTGTGTAAATAATGTATGTAAAGCAGACATTCTGGGGGACCTTCCATTCCTCCTCACCGCTATGAGCTGAATAAAAAGCAGAAAATCCACTCTTGACTCCGAGTATATTTCAGAGGGCAATGGAGACAAGAGCACAACAAAGGGGATTGGGGCCAATGAGCATGCTCCCACTCTCCCCTTCATGCAATTCTAAGTGTGTGGGGGGGGGGTATGTGTGGCGAAACAGGACTAAGCCAACTATATTTTCACACACGATATTTATTCATTTTGCACTTCTGCTTTCTGTCATAGAGTTATAAAACCTATGCTAGCTACTGTCAAACAGCCAAGTTGGTCTAAAGGCTAGAAAGCCATATGGTTTTAAAGCTTTATTTTTA